CCCCAAAACCCCAAAACCCCAAAACCCCTCAAGATTTATTAAATATTGAAAATGGACGAAAAGGGACCACTTGTGAGCAATAAAAAAAAGCACACAAAGATGAAGAAGAAACTGCACAGAGGGCTTCGGCCAGTTGACTGAAGAAAATTTCCCAAAAGTTCTCAAGTCTCAAGGAAGAATTCACTTAACCAGGAATCCACTGAACTTCCAGTCGGAAGTCATGAGTGTAAGAATCAGGACATCTCTGCTGATAATATGAGAAACTCAGTAGGAGTACCTGCTCTTGGGAGTAAAACCCTTGGGTCAAAGCCTAAAACTTCTGAAACCAAAAGAGATTTTACACACAAGAATTTATCTTGCAAATCTAACCTCTTACAAAAAGCTTCAAAAGATACATTTTCCTCTCACAACGAGATTCCTCGACTAAACTTTGCTGATACTTCAACTAAAAACCCAGAGAATTTCTTCTCCAAATCAAAGACTGAATTCGGAAGTACTAAATAACCTTCAAAAATACCTAAATCCTCAAAACTTCGAACTCACCGCTCACCAAAAGAAGTGGGATGTGAAGACCACCTCTAAAGGCTGAATTTACTACCAACAGAAAGGTCATTCTAAATGCCAATGGGAAATACCCAGAGTGTATGACGCAACTTCGAGGAAATACAAACCAATTTTTAACAAACACTGGAAGAAAGGTAAGGACCCACACACTGGGAAGAAATTATGGAGGAATATAAACACAGATGTCACTCAAACAGTTGATCCCTTTGGTAAGACATATATCTTCGAAGCTGCTGTGAAAGGCAACCTTGCATTCCTTGAGCTGTATTGACAGTATGGTGGGAATATCAATCTTTTTGATAAGCAAAAGAGGACTCCTCTCCATCATGCCTGAGCTAACGGAAATCTCTCCTTTATAAAAAGCCTGATAAGCCTAGGAGCTCATATCAATAAAAGAGATAATACAAAGATGACTCCTATATTCCATGCAGTAAAGTACCATTACAAAGAATGTCTCAAAGTTCTAATTGAAGCAGGCGCTGATCTGAAAGTGGCAAAGGCCAATGGAGATACTCTTATCCATGAAGCAGCTACTTATGACTCAGCTGATTGCTTGATTGAGCTTGCTCAGCATAACCTTCCTCTCAATGGGAAGAATAATATACAAAAGACCCCTCTATCATTAGCAAAGGGAAAGAAATCTAAGAATGCTTATAAAGCATTAATGGAGCTCCAAAATACAACCAAAAGTACTAATTCCTTCCTCGGTAAGAAGCATCTTAAGAAAGCTTCAGAAAAATTTAGACCCTTGAACTTAAAAAGTTCGTTCAAGAAGTCTAAACCAAGTGCATTTTCAAAGAAGAAGGTTAGAATTGCTCTTGAACAACTTGCTGGCGTTTACAAGGACCAGAAGAAGGAAGATATCTCTGAAGATCTTAAGAGTGGTGTTTTGGAGAGGCTTAACAAATTAGCAACTCTTAGAACTCATCTTAGCTCTTCTAGTGAAATTAATGACTTCGCCCAATATGCATCTAAAGCTCTTAAGGATGATAAAATTGACCAAGATTCACTTGTCATGCAAATTCTTGAATATGAAAAAGAAGAGATTAAGAAAGTTGAAAAACTACTTCACTTAGCTCACCAAGAGGACCAAGAAGAAAGTAAAGATCCACAAGAAGAAAGTAAAGAAGTTTTACAGAAAAATGATAAAATTGGCAATCTTGACTTGTTAAATAAAGATTTACTAGAGATAGAAGACAAAGAGACTTTACTGCCAAAAGATAAATGTACTGAGTCAAAAGAGACGACAGAAATAAAGCAGAACGACGATCAGGATGCTCAACCTCCTCAGGGGCATGATCTAGATGAGGCTACCATTGAAGAAAATAAGGATTTGAATACTGAAGAAATTAATAATCTGGCAGATGATCCTACTTTAAAACCTCATTTATGAGAGGAGATTAAAGATGTCCACAATGATTCCTTAATTTCTAAGGAAAAGACTTCTGAACCCACTGATATTTTAAAAGCAAAAGTCGAAATAGAAGAAAATCTTGTTCAAGAATCTGAAAGAAAAGGAGAAATAAAAGAGCTCTCTAGTGTATCTAAAGATATACCTGATGAATCTGACATAGAAGATGATCTTGATTTTAGTTCTCATAATCGTAGTTTTGAAAAACACCCTCTAGAAGAGTCCCATGATTCGGAAACAACCGAGGAAGAGGTTGGTCTAGAAATTGTTGAGAGAAAAGAAAGTAAAAAAATCAGAAACAAGAGCACAGAACCTATCGGAAGATCTCACATCTATATCGATGCCAACTCCTACGCACGCCAAGGTGCTCAAAAATGTACAAAATTCTACCAAACCCTCTCCCAATTCCTGTCCCAAAAATACCAAAATTTCCAACAATTCCTCACAACCCAGCCCCAAAGAACCCCTAAAACCCCTATTTCCTCCCTCTCCTCCCATAAACTCCCTCAACGTCCCATTTCCACTCTCATTGCCTCCAAAATCTCCACTCTAAAACACAAATCTCTCCAGCTGAACCCTCCTTGGCCTCAAACCTGCACTCAAGAGCCCGCAGACTTCCCAGTGCCCAGTCAAGCTGAGACTAAGGATTTCACAGAAGGATTTCTGAATTACGAAGAAATTGTGGACCAAGTGAAGGATTTTGATAGGTTTTTGTACGGGGAAAATAGGGAATTTAGGTGGGATGAGAGGGCGCAAAGGAGAGTTAAGAGGATGATTAGGGGTGGGAGAGGTAAGGAAGAGAAGAAGGGAGAGAAGAAGGGAGACGGGTTTAAGAAGGTGCTGGAGGTGGTGTATGGGAGCAGTGATGGGAGCTTTGAAGAACCTGATCCTCAGGAGATACAGGAGAGCATAGCGGAGTTTGAGAAGCAGACTCTTGTAGCGCAGTCTGAGGATTTGGTAAAGAAAATGCAGCAGACAGTTGAAAATGCGAGAATTTGACTTAGTAAAGGGGATTATTCAAACTTGATTTTTGATAGCATGAATTTGGTAAAGAAGGAGCAAACTGTACCTGAAGAGAGTGTTGAAGCGAGGATTGAGAAAGATCTTAATGTTCTGATCAATGAAGACTTCTTAGAACCACCTTCTCCTAATAGAGTAGAGCATGAAGAATCTAAGAACGTCAGAGAGACACTTGAGGATGAACTCAACGAGCTGTATGCTAATAGAGATGAAGATATCTTTGAGCTAAACTCAGAAGAATTTGGGGTGCATAAGCCAAACTCCATTTCTCATAATCATTCCTTCGAACCTGAAACTGAGGATAAAATTCAAAGGAAAACTTTTGGAATTTATGAAGATGAAGAATATCTACATCAGTACTCTTCAAAAACTCTCATCTTCCCCTTTAAATAAAGTTTTCCAAAAGGAAGTTCACCGAAATTCAGATAATTCCCTCAGAAAGCAATCAGTAGAGAAAGAAGTATGAGAGTCTCAGCAAAGAATTGCCGATGCCTCTTTCACTAAAAGACCATCTTCTGCAGATATTTGTAACTCTTCAAGCCAGCCTCGAAGAATGAAGGCAATCGACTTGAATCAGAAACTAGAGCCTATCAAGAAGCACGAGGCTAAGTTGAGGAAATACTCAGCTGACGATTTTATTAAAGAGTAATATTTCAGATTCAATTCCTAAAGAATTTAGAGGGGTTTTGGGGTTTTGGGGTTTTGGGGTTTTGGGG